TTTAAAAGGCATAAATTACTTTAAAATATTTTCTTTTTTGTATAAAGGGGCATGTACGTTTTAAATTATGTGGATGGATTCTATACCTAGGAATTCACTTTAGGATAGTATGGAGGCATTATAAAATACCTGTTATAAAAAGGATCTGTTGTATTTTAGGGTCATTATTAAAACATTTGCTAAGACTAACTCGGACCACAATGGGGAGGAAGAAACACTCTTAGGTACTTTTCTTATTGTTGGAGCAAAAATACCTGACACACAAGAGTTAAAAAAGAAAAGCTTTGTTTTAGGCCATAATTTGTAGGGATGTTTGTTCATGGTCAACTGCTCCATGGCAGGTGGCCTGGTAGAGGAGCTTAGCAGAGGAAAAAGTCCACGGCAGGGCCAGCAGGAGGCAGAAAACAGTGAATCTCTTTTTCTCTTTATTTTTCATCCAGGCCACAGGCCTATTGGTTGGACCCATCCACACCCAGAGTGGGATTTCTGTTTTAAATAAATCTATTTGGCCACACTCATGCTAATCCAATCAGTGGACTGACCCAGTCTCTCATGTTCATAATCCATATTCACATACCTTAGGTCCTGCTGCCTCCAAAAATCCTCACCTATGAGCTCATGAAACTTTGGGGGTACATTTAGATACAAGTCATACCAGAAGGGTTTTGGGTGCTGGATCTGCTGAGTAACAGTCAGCAGGCACCATGCTTTGTTGTGTACAGCTTTTTTACTTAATTCTTGCTTTATTCATCCCAGGTGGATTTTTATTCTTTTATCTTTCCAGACGAAGATACTGAGGCTTAGGGAGGTTTATTAATTTCATTTATTCACCAAGTATTTTAGTGCCTACTATGTGCATTTTGGTAACTGGGATAAAGCTGGGAACAAAAAGGACATAATTTCTGTCCTCGAGGAACTTATATTTCAGTGAAAGAGAAGATCCATACAGCAAACCAATAGATAGGTATGACGATGCCAGGTTGTGGTGGATTTCCTGAAAACACCTGAAAGAAGTGGCTTGGTAATATTTGCCCAAGGTCACATAGTGAATGGTGACAGTTCCATTTGAATGTAGATAATGTTGTCGTTGTGGAGTGGTACTGGGATTGAATAAAGGTTTTCAAAACATTGAGATAGGGCCTGGGGATTTAGCTCAGCGGCATAAGTGCCTGCCTTGCAAGCAGGTGGTTGTGAGTTCAATCCCTGGTACCAATTAAAAAAAATCATATTGAGATACATCCCTAGTCCTGTTTTACTTTTTATTTTGAGATAAGGTTTCATTAAATCATTAAATTTCCAAGGCTGGCCTTGAACTTGTCATCTTCCTCCCTCAGCTTCTCAGAGTGCGGGGGTTATAGGCTTGTACCACCATGCCTGGCAACGTAGCATTTTTGGACAGCACTATGATTATAGAATTGCAAGCTCATCACTTATAAGGCTGCCTAGAAAGAGGCTAGAATACACGAGTGAAAAGACGGAGACCTGTTCAAATTATTCCTGGATTTTATTTTCTTTTTGAATTCTCTGCTCACATGACCCTAGCAATTGGACTGTTTCTCAGTGCTCTTGTTTGTATTATCACTGACATTTATTAGAATGCATTTCTAAGTAAATAATGCTAACTGTTTTCCAATTCTCCAGTGTAATTTGCAGAACCATCTTCAGTTTTGTTCCCCAGTGGCAATGTATCTGTCATACCTAATTTCTAATAAGTGTATCTGTCCCATGAAATAAGGAAAATGTGTGCTGGAAACAGATGCATAGATACTTAAAAGTGAAATAGCAGGGGCTTTGAGCCAGACATTTTAGACGGATGATTATAATTTTTCATTCTGTGGGTAAATGGCAGAGAGGTAGGTAGAGGCTTCTGTTAAAGAAAAAAGAAAAGCAAGCAACAGTTAAAACAAATAGAAAAAGGTGGCTTAAGGTCTGGGCAGTTAGAATGTATACAAAGAGTTTTTTGATTCCAAAAAGTTAAGAAAGTTATGTTCTTCCCTTAAGAAAACAAAATCAGGTTTAGAAAATCCAGTGATATCTACTGTTAAAGATTAAAATGAAATTTGCTCAAGTTACATGTTCCTTTGTTAAGCATAGTGATTAATGAAAGCAATGTTTAGTTGCTTTATTCGGAATGAAACGGAAGGGAGAGCACTCTGAATGGGCTTTGGTTGCAGGTGCTGCAAAAGTCATCTCTGCACACCTGGTCACAAACCTGGTGACACTTGTGGTGCTGTGATTATTTTCCTAGGAGAAAGTGATCCTCAAGAAGAGATCAAAAGCTTCTAACCCCGCCTTACAAAGTAATGACTATGATCAGAACTTCATCTGTGCATTATGCAGAACTCATGTAAACCATGAGCTGACTTGTGTTTAATTGAACACGTTAAGTACCTAGCATTTTGTTCTTTCACTCTTCAGCTTTAATGTGACATTGTTGTTTCCAGTTTAAAATGGTTACAAGTAAAGCAGGTAAAGGTGATTTTACAGTTCTTATTCTCAACTATGTCTTTCATCTTTATAGATGCTCAATTTTTTGACAATAACTGACAAAAGTCCATTTAGCATTTCTGTATTTAGTATATTACTTTGAAAACACACTTTTCTCTAACTGTAATTAGCAGTCTTATAATGAACAGCGTGAATAATTTCTCAAGCAGCATAACTTGCATAAATTTTATAAATTTGGGGGTTAATTTTAAATTGTTTCTGTAATAATATTTCAGTATTCATTACCAAGTCTACACTGGTCAGCTCAGACTCTAGGGAATTCAGTATTTATACTGTATTCTCAGTTCATCTTTTGCAACTATATTGGCTAACTTGCAAATTTATCTGTAGTATGCCTGGTTGGTTATGTAGAGACAACAGCTACTCTCTGGGGGCTAATGTCTTTTTTTTCACCAATCAGAACACAGTTCATGATTCATTAGGTGTGTTGGCTAGCTTATTTAACTTAATTCATTATAAATTATTTAATTCCTAAAGCTTTCCTCGTGTTCAATATAAATGAAACAATTATTCCTGGACACAGTCATTCAAATAACAACACAGTTTTACTAAGCCCCAAGATAGTCATTAAATCCTAGCTATCCACTGCTTTACATAAACTACTCATGCTGAGTTTTTGAGGGTATAATGTTACTGAAATTGTTTAGATTCAGTAAGAATATGTTATTCTATATTTAATGAGAAAACATCCCAATTACATAGCAATGTGAGAAATCATAAAATATTTCTAGGTAGCATCTTTGCCCTTGTTTGGATAGCTTGCCTTCCTTTGTTACCTCTCCTTTTCCATGGGGAAATGAACAGCTCCATTTATTCAAATGCCAGATCTGTTGAAAAGCATTTACTGAGGCTTAACCTGTCCTGATGCCATCTATAGTTGGCCAATTGTTGGCAGGCAAAGCATATGGGGCTGGTGTGTCTTAGCTTTTTGGCACTGTGGGTTGATGACTGAGACAATGAATTTAAATGAACATGGTTTCAGAGGTTCAGTTCATGGTCATTTGACCCCATCGTCTTTGGACCTGTGGTGAGGAAGTACATCACACTGAAGAGTCTTGGCAAAGGAAACTGCTGCCTCATGAAGCCAAAAAGCAAAATGAGAGAGACAGAGAGAGAGAGAGAGAGAGAGAGAGAGAGAGAGAGAGAGGAGTTGAGATACCAATCTCTTCTGTGAGAGCATGCCCTCAGTAGCCTAACCTCTACCCATTAGGCCTCCAATGGCAGTGCAAGCTGGTGAACAAGTTTTTTATGTGGGCCTTTGGAGGAACGCTTTCCCAAACAATAGCAGCTGGTATATTTTTCCTCTTAAATGTAAGTCATATAAAATGTCCCCAAGCATAGTGTCCTTTGTTTTAGATTGAGTTCCCAGGAAGCAGACTCTGAGACAGAAAATTGTATGTTGATTCAATTAAAATTGGAAGTCAGAGAAACTCAATGCAGTGCTATAGGGGTCCGTGGACCTGGAATGGCCTCATAGATGCCCTGAATTCAGACAAGCGTTACATCGTTAATCATGCATCAGCAAATATCAGCAGTGGGCTACTTTCTGGGAGGGTTATGGCCTTGTAACCTCTGCAAACCATCAACAGCTGGCAATCTCAGTAGCTAAAGAGATGAATGGCTCAGTGCTAAGAGGAAGTCTTGGAATCTTGTCAGTCCTCTGAGCCTATTTTACCAAAACCTAGGTGAGGAATACTAGCAGAACATCATAGGGAGGAGTCATTGTTTTCTTTTAACACAGCATTTGATTATTTTCTAGCAACACAGCTTGACTTCAATCTTTAAAAATGTATTACCTTTCTTTTGTGTTCCCCTTCTCTCTCTGCTTTGTCCTAAACAAGGCCAGGAATGCAGTGAGGTAGACCCCAGAGAATTTCAGCCCTGGAGAATAACGCACTGTGTAGAGCAGTTCCTATGAGATGAAGCTGGAACCCTGGAGGTGAAGTTACTGAGGTCTGCTTAGACACGCTGGAATCATAAGACACTTAAAAAAAGAAAAGAAAAAAGGAGCCCCCAGAAGCTGTTTAGTTTAAGAGAGGCTGTGAGTTGTAAGGGCAGTTCATTTCTTTCTCTTATTATTTCTTCTGGAAGCCAGCAGGGTGCATATAGGTACACACATTGCCATTTGTCTAGCTCATCACACTTAATCACTCTGTGATCTCCAGGAAGGCCCTGTACAGCTGTCAGACGGAGGCTGAGATCACTTTTGTTCCTCCCTACTTCCCCCTGACTCTACTTTATATCTGTTTTACTACTTCATAAGCTTTTCATTCACTTAACTCATATAATCATTAATTTACTTATTTTGAATTGTTGCTATGTGTCAGCTTTATTTATTCTGGGGATTCCAATTCTCAACAGGCTGCCTGAACTTTCAATTTTTGTCACTTGTTTTGGTTCCCTTCTGGTTCTTGTCTTTCTGACTTTAAAATCCAGCTGGCCTGGATCATTGATCTATGAGTATGTTTTAGATTTGGTCTTCTTTTTTTCAGCTCAGAAACCAGTGATCCCTGCTTGATAAGCTGGCCTTACATCTTCATCTCCAAATAAATACCATTAAACAGTGGTTGAAAACTGCTTTAGCCTTCAGGTCTCTGATCATGGATGCTCTCCCAGCACCTACCAGCCATGACCACTTGAAATGAGCAAAAGATAAATGCTTGCATGAATGAGATTATCGTCAGCAAAAGCCAACATGTGGAGGCCGAGGACAAAACTGAGCAACATGGTAAGAGGAAACAATGAAATGGAACTGTCTGTCACTAAAACACAGTTATTTGAAATGGGTAATTATTTGCCTATTTCACTTCTCTTTCAGAAACAATTGTCCTACTTTCATTTGGAAAACATTTTGACGTTTCTGATTTTATTATGATCTAATACTTCTAGGTCAGTATAGTTATGGTTGAAAGTGGTTCATTTAGTTAGGGTTTTCTTTCCTTCTTTTTTTTCTGGTACCAGGGATTGAACTCATGATCTTGTGCTTGCCATGCAGGCACTTATGCCACTGAGCTAAATCCTGGGCCCATCTATCTTTTTTGTTGTTGTTGCTTTGGAAGATCTTTTCTATGTTCTTAATCAACAATGCTGAATTTTTGATTTATGACTCAGTTCAGTGCAAGATCCTTGCTTCAAGGGAAGTAGGTCAGCGGGCTGAGTACGTGTTCTCAAGTTTCATGTCCATTTAGATATGCTAGATGCCCGCATGAAGAACTGGAGTGGGACAGAGTATCTTGTCGTTGGGCACCAGGAAATTCAACTGTAAGATTTCTACCCTTCCATTAAGTCATACCACCTGGATAGAAATATGCAAAGATAACTGCAAAATCCAATTATAAATGCCCATTTGGCTTCAGATTCTTCTCTGCTACTCCCTTCTGTTACAGACACATTCTTCCACAACTCTGTTCTGCTTATTTCAGCCAGAAAACCACTGCTGCTGAGTATTCACTTGCTATGCATGCTTTTCTGTCTCACTTTGTTATTGACTTTCCATATATTTTCTATTTTCATTTGAAGATGCATCTGAAGTCCCTGGACTATCTCTATTAATTTTTGTCTTTTGCCATGATTTGGTTTCCATTTAAATTTCATAACAATGTTATTTAAGTCAGTCAATATAGAACTTTATGAAAGACTCAATATCAAAATTATGTTGCACTGCAAGGAATTATGGGTACAACTGGAAGCAAGAGCATTTAAAAATCTCTATTGAGGTTCTTTAACTGAGTCTATTGGAAGGTAATGAAATAGGCTATGCTTGATTTATGATGATATATTCTGACATATAAAATACTATTTGTAAGTAGTTTAATAGAAGACTATTGCTCTAACTTCCAAATTAGCAGCAGAGGTGATTTCTATTAGAGAAGACACCAGTGGAGGATTCTGTTCTTGATGTTAAATAAAATAGTTCTTTTTCTCTGTACAATCCACTCTGTTGTATTGTAGCACAGCTCTGGGGACCTGCTGTTGTATGCAAAGAATAAAACATATCTCTGCTCATTGTTTATTTACTACATTTTAGGGTACATATGGCAAAATCATTTTCCTTACAGTCCTCAGTTCGATTTTTTCCTTCTGATTATGTGTTAAAAATCTGCACATATGGTTCCTCTGTGTTGCAGTTTAACCATGTGAATCTCCAAGCCTCTTTTATTCAATGACATTTCTAGTATTTTAATGAGGGTTTGACATTTTCACATGTTACAAATTTGTTTTATTTTTATATTCATTGAAGTGACTTTCATCCTGCCTTTGTGTGTTGCCGGTCTACAATTTCTAAAGGTGCTTGGAGACACCTTTTCAGAAAGAGAAAGTACATCAGGAAGTCATGCAGAATTCTTAGTGTTACTGTTCAGAGGAGTGTGTTTGTGAAAAAATGTCTTTCAAGGTTATAAGTGAAGGGCTTTTGTTCTGAGCAACATCAAATACCAGTTCGTTTTCAATTGGCAAAGGCCAAACATGATTTGGGCCAGGATTTACAAATTCAAATGCCTAGAGGGCTAAATGGGTGACATAAGTTAAAGAGGCAGCCCTGGCAGCCTGGAAAATGGTAGCAGCATGCCCCATTTAAAGGAGTCTGTGGCGAATTTGCCATTTCTGATGGTTGCTATGTGGGAATGTCCAATGTCATTAGGTTTCTCAGTATTCTAATGGCATATGAAAACCAGTATATTTAAGGGAAATAGTCTAAGTTTTCCATTTTATGTGTCTAGTCTAGTGTACAACTTTACACTAGAATGACTGTGCATCTAAATAGTCCAGAAGGAAGGCAGGGTTGGAGGTTGCCTCTCAAGTGCCCTGAGCCTCATGCTGGAAACTTCAGTTGTCTGCTCAGGGCAGGGTGGTGTGTGGTTTCATTCTGTGACTATAAAAGGGACCCATGCTGTACCTTAATTTCTGCTGTACCTTAACAGTCTTCAGAGAGGTTTTGTTCTGGGATTAAACTCCTGACCTTGCACTTGCCAGGCTACAGGGAGGTTTTGACATGACATACATAACTAAAATGTAAGCTGAAGTTAGGCAAATTCTCAAAGGATGTTCAAATGAAATTCAAAGGAGAGAGAAGGTACATGTTATTGGGCAGACCAGGGACAGATTCATGCCTATTGAGATGAGTATTGACAATAAATGTAGGATTGTGGTAGATGTGGGCACAGATTTCAGGTGCAAGCAACAGGTGATCCAAAGATAAACCATAGTGCTGTTGGAGAGAAAGCAAGACAGGCAGACTGAATGCATTTTACAGAGCACATCAGATGCTAGGCTGAGGTATTTAAGTAATAATTTTGGTAGATGAAGAGAAGCCCTTCATGCTTTTTGACTTGGGAAGTTCTCTGTTTATTGATCTCTATGGGTGAAATTTTATTTAAAAGGAAAAAGAGAAAAAACAAAACAAAACAAAGCAGTGTAAGGGTACAATTAATACAGAACTACAAAAAAAAAAAACAGTAAGAAATCACCAGTTAATAGATTACAATTATCATCCTAGAGACAGACCCAGATGACAAAACAGGAGACAGGGTCCATTGGTTACTCACAGTTTGATTTAAACTCATTTTGGGTTGTGTATTTATGCTTTTTGTAGGAGCTTATTTTTACATTCTTTGGCAAGACATTTAGTGGTTGAGGAAGAAAACTGATATCCAAGTATCTATGCTTAGTGGTTGTGGCTGAGGCATCAGCCCAGGATGTACAGCCCTGATGAGTCTCCAGGGAATAGAATGCCACTTTTCCAAGGACTGGTCCTTCTCTATCTTTTTGGCCATTAGAAAAGCATTCTAGGCCAAGGGAAATTCAGGTTAAGGGCCTCAAGGCTGGAGAGAAGTGAGGGGAAAGTGACCAATGATACCACGAAGGTGCCTGGTGTCAGCTGATGGAACTTGTCATGCATGCAAAAGTTTGGCTTTTACACTAGTAAGGTGGGAAGTCATAGGGTGTGGGGTCGCTAGGCAAATCAGTGGCATAGATGATTTTGGATTTAATTGAATTAATTATTTTTCTTATCTTGTCTTACTTTCCATCTTTCATTATTCTCTCTTCCTCTCCAATTTTACTATTTTGGAGAGATTTTCTTAACTTTGTTTTTTAATTCACCTATAGATTTTTAAAAATCTACTATAACATTTTAAAATTTTCAAACACTCTTATTTTTAGACTTAAATTTCTTGTTTTTTTTTTATTTTAAAGAGAATAAAACAAAACAAGACAGAACAAAGCAGTTCACAACAGAACAGTGCAAGCAACACAGGACTTCGAAACCAGACATGGCTACCATAATGTTTCTTGTTTTCTTCAAAATAGATGTCTATACATGTTAAAATAAAATAATAGAAAATAGAGTAAAAACCAATCAAAACAAAGAATAAAAACATAATTGGACTTCAAAACAAGATTATAGGAAATCAGCAATGATTACCATTATGTCTCATTTTCTTCAAAATAGCTGTTCATATCATCACACATAAAAAAAAAACCAATGCTTGTAAACTCTTTAGGAGAAGCTCTAGGGATGTACAAGCCTATACATAGTCATCTATCCTGTATGTATTGGAGAAAAAAAATAAAACAAAACAAAATAGAATACAAAAAAACCAGAAACAAAAGAGGCAAATAAATAACAATAACAAAGAGCCCAAAAGAATAACACTATAGGCTTTCAAAACAAGGTGGCAGGAACATAACAAAGGTTGTTTTTTTGGCATAGTTATCTTCAAAAGAGCTACTCAGATTGCCAGATGCAGACATGTAAAATTGGTCTAATCCTATGAATGTTAACTGTTTTGTTCCAAGAACTAATAGAATTAGTAATACAATCATCTTAGCTATCTTAAGTGTATATATACAAATTTATATCTTTTTTCTTTTTCCTTCCTTCTTTTCTCCTTTTCCCTGAGTTATTTTTCCCCCTTTGAGCAGTTTCTTACCTTTTCACAATATTTATTGAAGATTTTGTATCTTATTTACTCTCAGTTTCTTACACTAGCGAGAGAATATGGTATTTACACGTGAGTTTGATTTATTTCACTTATGAGTATGGTCTCAAGTCACATTCATTTATCTATAAAAGCCTCAATGTGATCTTTCTTTATAACTGAATAGTACTCCATTGTATAAAAATACTACATCTTTTTTATCCAATCCTCAGTTGATGGACATTTGGGTTGTTTCCAAGATTTAGCTATTACAAATTGTGCTGCTATAAACATATATATATATATATATATATATATATATATATATATATCACTGTGGTATGATGTTTTCAATTCTTCTGGGAATATGCCCAGAAGCAGAATAGCTGGGTGAAATGGAACTTCTACTCCCAGTTTTTTGAGGAACCTCCAGACTGATTTCCACAATGGTTGCACCAGTCTACACTCCCACCAACAGCGTAGAAGAGTTCATTTTCCCCCGTAGCCTGTCCAGCATTTGTTATTCTTTCTGGAGTGAGATAGAATCTCAGTGTGGTTTTACTTTGCATTTCTCTAATGACCAGTGATGCTGAACATTTTTTCATGTATTTATTGTCCATTTGTATTTCTTCAGCTGAGTAAGGTATATTCATCTCAGATGCCCATTTTTGGATAATTTCTTGTTTTATTTTATGGATTTGCAATCATCTCATATTATCTCAAAGATATTGATTACAACTTTAAGTAATATTCTTCTTTTTCCAACCTTGTCTTTTTTTTTTTGTGAAAGTTGCAAGACTTTTTCAATTGT